GCTCCTAATTTCCATCTCAGCTCGTGTATCTCTACCTGATGCGTTTAAAGCAAATTGAAGCCGTGGGCCAGGGAGTGCAGATATTTGAAATAGCCTCGAATAAACCGGTTACTTCGGTGACGGTGCCAATGAACGTACTGGAAGAACTTGACTATCCATTCAACTAAAGCTAAATTTAAGGTTGCGTGTTACAATCCAAGACAAACACCGGGTGCTCACAAGCCCGAAAATCGATTTCTAACCGTGGTGATAAACACTGCCTGTGCAGCTCAATGGCCTAGTGAACAATGCGGTAACCTCAAAGCAATTTGCGCTAATTCCACTCACAGCTCGGCTATCTTTACCTTGTTGGCATAAACCAAAACAAATGTTTCGGCCGTGTAGTGCAAGGATTTGAGAGTGCCACACGGAAAACCTCCACTTCGGTGACGTTTCCAAGCAAGCTAATGGCAGAAGATGACTAAAATGTCAAGCGAGGCCACGAATGCGTTTGCGGGTCATAATCCCATGAAACACGGCGGACGATCACAAACATGGAAATGGAAATCCACTTTGTTGCTTATCGAAATTCGGATTAAAATTCAGCGTTGCAACCTCTTTCACATACTGAGCTCTAAAATAGACCCTACGAGCCTTGTATAACCTTTGTAATATGCATTTTCCTTTGATACCGGACGGCTAAATATTTAAAGGCCAAAACCGACATCTTAACGGTTCCAGTTTCCATACCTGCTATGTACTAATGAGTACAAATTATTTCGAATCCGCTTGTGCAATTTCCTGTTTTAGGCGGGCAATAGCCTTGATCAAATTTAATGTTACTTACTTCATTGGGGCATGGCTAGCGGCATCCGGATTCGGATTTGTCTGTCACATTGGCCTCCATGCAGTCAGTCTCAAGACGTCTGCGTCTACAGATAGAAGACCATGGGTGGCTTGCGCTGCATCACCCACATCGCTAACCACATCCATCATATTCAGCTTAAACCCAATGATAAGACCGGGATGCACGCAGATTGGAGGCATGTTTCTTCAACGGAGTCGGCTCAACCTCGTGCAAAATGCACAGCTACAGCATTCTTTTATATCTACGTAGGGAATCATGCGTACCAGATGTAGTCAGGGCCGTGGTTTGACCGTATTCTGCCACGCATTGGATGCATGGAACCTTTTTTGAGTCTAGCACGGACACGAGGACAATGCATCACCCAGCAAAGAGTGGTAGTCTCCTGGAGTCGGTAATCGTGCTGAAGGGTGGTAGACGGGTAGGCACCTTGTGAACATTGTCAAAAGCAGCCACACGGGAGAAATAAAATATCCAACAAGAAATTTGAATGAATTTCAAAACGCAAAATTCACAAAGTATATGCGGACGAATAATAAAGTCGAGCAAATCATGGAAATAGAAATACTGTTGATCCAGGTTAATGAGATCTCGGCTAAGTGTGAGTCGGTGTGATCCAACTGTGATGAAGAAGCATCTGTATGCAACATCAACCTCAGCATGAGGCAATAATGTGATATGGCGGGTCACACAAATGACTTGTCGATTCTGCCGTGAATACTTGTATGGTCGCGACTCAGACTTGTTTTGATACACAAACGGCCAGTTGACATTAGAGCAGCAGACTATCGGACTTTATTATTTCCGAAAGCAAACGTTTAATAGGTAGTAAATAAAATGGGAAGATTGACTAAATTGGATGCAATACCTAATGCTTTACAAGTCTCAAGGTGGAAGGTTAAAGTGTTTGAAAGACAAAGTAGGTAATATAAATCAAAGCCCGAGTTCATGAAATAACCTGGAATTCAAGCTGTAAAACTTTTGTGTTCGTGGTACCTTGACGCCCGCCTATAATGCACTATTTATGTGATGTTATTATATATGTGCCTCCGTGGAATCTTTCTAGAAGTCCACATCGCTGAAAGAAATAACTAAGAATTAGGCGTTCCAAGACTACATATTGGAATGATGGACGCTGAAGTCCCGCTAACAGATATATCATCCGTCCGCAAAAGCCAGAATAATTAAGGGAAGAGGGGTTATTCTGTGTTACCAAAGTAACGTATAGTGCGATGCCATGGAGGATTCAGACTTGCAGTTCCACCATTCCCTTTGGTTCCAGCTTCATTTAAGAGACAGGTACATGTGCCTAAGGTCTTCGGTGTGCAAACCCCAAGTTGAAATTCGAAACAGATTGACACCTTGCGACTGCACTAAGACTCACTTTAAATGGAAGATACACCCATATCATTGTCAGGAGTAAGTTAAACGTACGCAGTCTGGAAACCCACATCGCGATCTAAGAACAATTCAAAGCCGATTTGCACGAGCTCCTAACCACTGCTCCGTTTTACAATCACGTTCCTTTGCCTACTCATTTCACCAAAGGAAGCGAACCATCTGTGCTGCATATTGTGCTTACCAACGAGGCGGATACGATTAAGGTGTAGGTTGTATACAGCCATTGGGTCCCAGTGATTTTGCAGTCATTAGTTTGAACTTCATCTTCTACGCGGAATAAGGTCACGAGAACCCTGAGAGGATGAGCAACATTATACATTGCAATTCATCATCCCAGCGCTTTGGCGCCTTAAATTATTCGTTCTTTGCTGATAAAAACCCGGAAATCACATGACCCAAGTTTGTCAACACAGTTAGTCGGCCCGTTACAGATGCTTCAGAGACAAGAATTTGCAATGGATAAAAATAATTTTCCTTCGTTAGTAGCAGATCCTAGTACTCAACTCAGTTTGGCGAACGTTTAGCTCAGCCCAATCACCAGCAAATGAGGACAAGTACCTAGTAAAACGTAGCCACTGCACTCAACTGCTTAGACAAGACAAAACCGCATATCAGCAGAACATCTCATACTATTCAGCCCTAACCAAAAAATGCTGCATCAGTACCCTAACGGCTTACAATGGGTGAGGCAGGAATTACTTCCAATCCAGAAGTCTGATGAACGAACAAGGACGGCTTCAGAAGTAGAAAACGCGCTGCGGACATAATATGCCCCCATTTTTTCTGGGGTCAAACCAATAAGCTGCCTTCTAACTTTGGCTATCCTGCCACAAGGACCAAGTTACTTCCTCTTCCCACTGCAACTCGCTTGCAGTATCTGTCTGTGCGCAGCCGCTGCTCCCCGGGAGTCGACACCCTTCTTCCAGAAGTACTGGGACCAGTGGCAAGGCAACTGAAAGAAAAGTGTTCAATTCTTTCAGCGATACTTGGAGCTGAAACAGGATCCTGCCACTTAGAATCTCGATTCACAAAGCCGGAAGTAGAAGTGAGCCCTCTACCTTCCGCAGGATTTTCTAACCCACGTTGAATTGATGAATAATCCTGAATAGCAAGGGCTATAAAATCTAGCACATCATCAGTATATTTGCATTTAATAAAGGTAGTTTTTATGAGGAGGCGTTCGACATATAAAAAACTAAAGAAGGTATTAAATTTAGTTCTTGACCTGGCTAAGTGAATACGACCAGTAAAATATGCAGGCAACGCATTACCCACATTAAGTGTGAAATCTCTTCTCGGAAATCAAGTTCAGCAACGCTGACCTATTCAGGCTTCTAATGGCATTTGAGTTAGCAAGGAACAGAAGAATTATGTATTTGTTTGTTTAGTCTAATACAGTCGCAATAACGTAAGAATAGTGACAATTTATCGAATATAGAGCGCTGGGGTCTAGACACATGCTGGTAGACATTAACAGCAATCGTGGCAGAAAGAGTACGTGTAATTATCAGCTTCCAAAAACGATCAGAAGCACGAAGGTACAAGCATTTTATTGTGGTTATCTTGGCTGGTATATATATGATGGTGATTCAACTCCAAGTGAATTATATGAGACGATTTGTGAAAGGTATTGAAAGGGTCTCTGTTTAATTCTTCAAAGCTAATGGTGAAAGAGCATCAAAATTACCTGCGTTGGTCGATTTTACAATTTTGATTTCCTTTTAAACATTGCTTTGATCGAAGGATGCAACTGGATTTGTGCTAACGAAGAACGACTAAGAGTTGAGCCTTTTAAAACGGAACTAAGTTCCAAATTTAATTTGTCCATACGAAGTTCCTAAATCTAATTGCAAATGCTCTTTCCACGGAGCTACCTCGAAAACCTCCATAGATATCGACAGTTATGTATGCCTAGATCTGCGTCGACGTATAGGTGGTTTGGCTCTTTTATCACAGCACTACTTGCTCAAGTTATTATCTTCACAGGTGTAGCATACTTGCATTCGTAAGCCCATTTTGTCATCCAACAAAACCGCTTTAGTGTTGGTGATAATGATCTATCCGTCCTTAGGTAGATCGCTTTAACAGTGTAGCACATACCAAAAGAAATTTTGATGTGGTCTGTAAGTGTGTCACCCTGAATCTACAGATCATCGTCATTAAGACCTGAAAAACGCCTTAAGCAAAAAGCCAGACGGAGCATTGTGGTATTTACTACGGAAGAATTTCGCCGTTGGCAATCCTATAACAGTGCCTAGTAAGGGCGATAAAAGTACCTTACCTGTATTTGATAAGACAAAATTTTGCAGCACATCTACGATCAGCGCTTCGTTTAAGGGAAAGTCGGTTGTATGTCACATACATAAACACAACATAAATATCCGATAACTGTGCCACCTAGTAACACAATGTTTGCCGGAACGAATACCTGACGCATTTCTGCGATACCGCATCTTGCACGAAGTGGACAATAGTGGCGCATAACACCTGACATTGCACATTCTTACTAAACCTTATTTGCTCAAGCAAAGCGGGTCACAGATTGATTTGTGACTCATCTCCGCTGCAAATATATTTATGTATGAGAATATATACCTATATCTACTTATATATAATCATGGCCCAATTTAAACATCTTTTAACCTGCCTAGCGGCCAGCGTCATGTTATTTCAGTTCCATCATATGTGAACGACAGCCTGCGTTCAGAAGGCCTTTGAACTTTCACCAAAACATAACATACACTATTTCTTCCAGCTGATAAAAACACGGAGTGCAGCACAGATGCTGCATGCCAGACTGTAACTTTGAGAAATCTGAGGGATGCGAAGGTATTTTACCGGGTGGAATCCAATGTGCCGGAATTGTATTATTTTTTTCCTCGCTATGGTTGCCTCGATGCGCTGAGAACTACAGAACTTTGTGGTGAGTTGATTTGACGAGACCACCACAACTGTCACATGTTCAGTAGTTGTACTGCCATTTGACTTCGACCAGCCAACCAATCATTACCATGAGCTGACAATTCAGAGCATGTTAGCGACCAGCGAGGAAACGACAGAGCTTCAAGTAGTGGTAACTGAGATGCTCGAATATATTCACTCTTACCCTTCTGCATATTTAGTGGGAGGATGCCGATCCGGCTAAGATTTGGAAACACAAACTGCAGTGCATACCGTGGGTGCAAGGGAACCTGGTTATGAATCCCAGTCATGAGCTTGTATTGGACGGTAATCAGCAACGCAAGAGATTCCTTACGCTTTAGGTCCATTTGATTTGCCGGATTCGTCCATAATTACCTTACACAATCCCACAGAAGACAGGGTGAAATACAGCACACAAACTTCGTCTACGACTGTTTCGACATTGCCAAAATCTAGCAGCATTAGCCCAGGCAAAACGAAAATTCTGTTCGGTAAGTTTAGTAGACAGTGTCCTATAATGACTACTCAAAGTCTTTCGGAAACCACTGGAAATGCGCGATGTTCCTACAGCTCTTGACACAATCACAATATCAGCATCGTCAATTGCAACTAGTAGCAACCATCCTATCTGTGATTTGGTATGTCTGGTTGTATTTCGTGCGATCACTTCTGGTTCTGCAGTTATATACCATCAAGTGTGTATACGTCAGGTCAAAAACACCACCGTCTGTAAGTTAATCTGCTCTCTTCTGTTGGTTCACAACCAGTAATTTTAAACTACGCATCGCTGTCAGGTAATTTTGGAGAAATATGCGATTAACACATTGCGATAGATCCTATCCACATTTAGCCTCTCCTGTTTAGCATAATGTGAACTAGCCCTGTGCTACGACAGTCTGATGAGATGCTGCAGCCTTATGTTTGAGCATAGTGTCTCGTATTTATGACCCCTTTTTCATTGCTTGTTTCAGCTTTCCAAATTCGAAGGGCCTTAAAGAACCTTGAAAGATGTCGGCAGTGTAAGAGGCGTTCGACTCACCATTTGAATTGGCATTGTTCAAGCAGTCTGTATTGTTAATAGACACAAGAGGGGTCATTATGTAACATTTATAGTGCGAACCCCGTCAACTGACAAATAGAAGGTGAATAACAGTATACTGCACTAATTTTCTTTCGATTAACGTGATCACCATATTTCTGTTTTAACGAACGATCTACGCAGTGCTGTGTTAATTTCTGTTTCTGCGGTAATTACTGTGTTATCTGTGGAAGAGCATATATGCTTGGTGAGAGTTTTGGAACAGTGGTGTTATAAGGCTAAAAAGGCTGAATCTTAAGAGGTCCCGCAGAATTCTTATGGAAAAAATGCAAAATAAAGGACATTTTGCGAGCAAATATAGGTGTACTCAAGAATACTTGATGAGGTATCCGCATTATAAAAAGTTAACGTCTTGTAAGTCTAATTTTGTGTGATTGCACACTTGTTTATCCGTTTACACACGGATCTATATAGGTTTATCACGATTTTGGTGGGTTGGTGAGCACAATGTTTGTCTGTATCATGCTGCCGCTAAGTGAACAGAAATCAGCCTGTGTAGGGATTGTTATGCATCGTGCAGTCATATCTTAAAGACGGATGGCATGGGCGCAGGAATGACAAAAGTCGAAAAGACGTTGCGTAGGTGAAAATTTCCAAGAGAAAAATAGTTACGGCGGTATTCCTCTCGACTGTATTGCGTGGTTACCACATACACCCGCTTTTTTCACGCTGGCAGCAGTTCCTTCATCAGAAACATCCGCTTTTATTACTTGTCAGCCACTGCAAAGGAACATATATTCCTTTCCAAACGGTAAAATGCGTTTTCGCACTTAAATGCTTACTGAACCATGTTAATGGTAGAAATTCAAACAAAAATACAAATAAAGTTTTATTGCAACCACTGTGTCATAGGGCGTTTAAACACAAAGGGAATTATACTATTAGCAGCCGGTTCCATTATTTGCGTTGTTGCCATACAGACTGGTGGGAAGCTGTCATCCTTAACTTTCGGACACCCACACACTGAAAATTAAAACGCCATACTCTACTTAATTAGTATCTTCACTCCAAACCAATAACTTGGATAATGTCCTGATCATGCAAAATGCATAAGTCAGAGATGTTGGTAATCCAGAATGGGTAACAACTGACCACGTCATTGCAGACTCGTTCGTGCTTTGACGACATCGTAGGTTTCACTCGCAAATAAAGCGTTCATCTTACACCATACGTTAAACACCAAGCACGCTAAGAAACAGTAAACCAATTAAGCTCTACTTACGTCGCTGATGCAGCACTGAGCAAGCTGCCGTAAACCTACTGAGCTCTTCTCAGACATGGCGGCAGTTACCACAGGAAATCACAGGACACCTCCACTCTATGACAACGCACGTCACTTGCCAACATTTAACTTTCACTACCGTATGTTTCGAAAACATGGTCCTATGTTCCTCAATTAATCTTGTACCGCCTGCCCGAGTTGCAGTGAAACGGGAGCGCATTAACTTGCCAACTGTCCAAAAGCATATATATATATAGGTATGTATATATATATATATATATATATATATATATATATATATATATATATATATATATATATATATGGTTGGCGGCATCCGGTTTCGGATTTGCCTGTCACTGTGGCAAGCCACAGGACGCCTGCGCCTACAGAGGGACCCTGGATGGCTTGTGCTGCACTACCCACAGCTCCAACCACACACCCCATATCCAGTGTAAACCCGAAGGAATAAGACCGGGAGGCATGTGGATGGGAACCACGTTTCATCAACGGAGCCGGCCCACACTCCTTCACAGGCAAACACAAGCACACTCTATTTGGGGAATCAAGCGCACACAAGGCGGTGGCTGGACCGTAGTCCGCTCCACACTGACTGCATGGAACCACTCTTTGATCCTAACACGGCCACAACGACCGTGCACTCCGTCCCCTCCAGCAACGACCAACTGTCTCCTGGAGCCAGTATGGACGAGGTAGTGGGTAATAGACAGGTAGGCACCTTGTCAACATGCACATCAAGCGTATCCACCCCGGGGATATCAAACAACAGCCAAACACTTGAGAGAGAGAGAGAGAAAGAGAAGAGAAAAACTTGATTAATGCATAAGGAAACGATGATATAAACCTTAGTTAAATAGCATATGTAATAAGTCGTTTAAATAAAAACAAATCCTAGCTAAGTGCACGAGGTTAGAAAATATTGTTCACGGAATGCCACGAACACAAATATGTTATAGAAATGGAATACAATTGGCTTAGGCGATGTGTGCAAGTCAATGGAATAGAGTACAAGGAGATATTTATATGAGAAAGAGAAGCATTAAGGTAAAAGCTGTAAACCCACCACCTGAAATAAAGAGACAGCATGCATGCACGCGGTTAGTAAATCGAATTCAGCGTGCCTACAAACGCTGCGCCGGCTCGACGTAATTCTCTGCAGGACCCGTCGTCGCTTCTGTAGTGGCCCCTAATGGCATAGCTCATGGCCCACTAGACATTTATATGAGAAAGAAAGGCATTAGGAGAGAACCGAAACCCACCACCTGAAATAAAGAGACTTAGCATGCAAGCACGCGGTTAGTAAATCGAATTCAGCGTGCCTACAAACACTGCGCCGGTGCTGCATGCGTTCACTGCGGGACCCGTCGTCGCTTCAGCAGTGGTCCCGAGTGAACTCTCTTATGGCTCACTAGGCTTGCCTGACTTAGGCACCCGCGACCACATATTCTACAGCCCCATGCGCTCGATGTCGATGGAGTAAAATGCATTGATGCTTGCCGCTCCTGCACTTGCCGCTTCTTCTCTGCATGCATGAGGGCTTTCTCCCGCACTTCAGCAACTGCCTTCGTGATTAGATCGCGCCATGCACGCCGATCAACCGTCTTCGATTCCCATGATCTACAATCAAGGTTAGAACGTGTGAGGCTCACTTTAATCATGTCCTGGTAACGTAACTTTGGTTTCCCCACGTGCCGCTTCCCAATACTTAGCTGACCATATAAACGTTGTTTCGGTATCCCCGCCGAATCCATACGGCTCACATGACCGAGCCATCTCAGGTGTCGCAGTAAAAGTATGCCGTCCACTGCATACCTCCCACTTCGGCGCAACACTTCCGTGTCTGCAACTCTGGCGCCCCAACCGATCCGCAAAATTCGTCGCAGACACTGCTGATGGAACCGCTCGAGATATTGCACATCCCGACGGTACATCGTCCACGTTTCACTGCCGTATAGAAGAACGGACAGTACCATGGATTTGTACACCATCAGCATCGTGACAATGCTAAGCTGATGGTTGTTCCATACTCGGTACTCAAGCTTCCCAAATGCCGCTGCTGCCTTCGACACGCGATTACGCAACTCAACGTGTAGCTGCTGATCAGTCGACATCACACTCCCAAGGTAGCAGAAGCGGGAGGTGGTTTCCAATACTTTAGCACTAATGCCGATTTGCGGCAATATTGATGATTGCACCTCCGGTGAAGGCTGAAAGAGACAGACAGTTTGGCTTGTGTTGATGGTGAGCCCGAATTCTGCCGCTGTCGAAGCCAGAACACTAGTCATGTGCTGCAACTCATCCGCGCTGTGTGAAAACAACGCACAGTTGTCAGCAAACAGCAACATACGGATAGTTGTCTCACAGACTAGAGGTCTCGCACCGAAACGACGGACATTCAACAACCCACCATCAATACGGTGCTCCACACGAACACCGTAAGCACAAGCCGCATCAAAAGCACAAGACAACATTGCATGAAGATAGATATTAAACAGGGCAGGAGCTAAAACACAGCATTGCTTCACACCAGTGACAACTGCAAAGTCATCCGAGGTCTCGCCACTCAGCTGCACCCTCGCTCGCATACCACGGTGCAGACATTCAATTAAACTTACAAACTTACGTGGACAACCAAACTTACCCAACACCAGCCACAATGCCTCGCGGTTCACCGTATCAAATGCCTTGGTGAAATCAACAAAAAGTGAGTACAATGGTTGGTGTCGTTCTCTGCACTTCTCTTGCAACTGACGAGCCGCAAACACCATATCTATAGTGCTGCGACCCGAACGGAATCCACATTGCTCTTCCGCCACGTTAGGGTCCACAAACTGACTCACGAGGCGGTTGAACAGGATTCGGACAATCACCTTGCCCACACAACTCAGCAAGTTGATGCCACGATAATTCGTGCAACATTGCTTGCTCCCTTTGCCCTTGTACAGTGGTAGCACAAGGGCAGCGTTCAGCTCAGCAGGCACCTCTTCCTCAATCCACACGCGTTACACCAAGTGGTGCAGCGCAGTCAACAACGCGGGTCCACCGTGTTTCAATACTTCAGGTGGGATCCCGTCACCTCCGGCACATTTGCCGTTTCGCAGCTGAGCAAGTGCCCTCTGCGTCTCATCCAGTGTCGGAGTATCCGCCAAATCCGCCTTCACATCGTGCTGCTTCAGGCCGTTCAATGTAGGTCAGTCGATCTCTGAACGATGGTTCAAGAGACAGTCAAATTTTTTCCGCCAGACCTGCATTATGTCTGCAGTCTGGGTGCAGGTAGCGCCTGAACTACCATCGATCAGGGTCCTCAGCGGCTCCAATCTCGGTCCATACACCGCCTTCAAATAATCAAAGAATTCCTTGTGTTGGCGGCGTGCGGCGTAGCATTCCATCTGCTTCGCCATCTGCGTCCACCATTCAATTTTTATGTGACGGAGCTCTCGGGTCAGTCGCCGTCGAAGTTTGCGAAACTGACTACTCTTTCCCAAGTCACTGGGGTCTGCAACATATGTAGCAAATGCTGCATTCTTCTCTGACACCAATGCGCCAATCGTCACATCGTTGTCATCAAACCAATCAGGCCGTTTACAGTTTGCGCGTCCGATGGTCTCCTCCGCAGCAGCTGTCACCTGGTCGCGAATGTGGTGCCACAGGTC